TTCGGGAAGATCAGGAGTGCTCGGACTTAATGAGAAGCATTCAAGCGGAGATCGCTAGACAGCAGGACGAGATGGCCAAGTATGAAATGGTTTGGAACCAACATCGTGTCCTTTGGGAGACCACGGAGGAGGAATTCCGACAGCGATTGATGAGCAGTTCCCGGACAGCCGGTGTTTTTGAAGGTGGCATCGAACACTACAGTGCTCTGGCAGATGACGTGATCTTCGAGGATGCCATTACGAACGTGTACTTCATACTGATTAACCAGAACGCTCTGAAGAGCACCATCCTAGATTGGATTGAAAAGTGGCAGGCCCTCAATATCAATATGTTGCTAGATCATGCCAGCAATTTAATGAGAGGTAAGGTTTGTTTTGACAAAACACAAATTAAAATTAGTTTAGATTTCTAAAAGAGCATACAAATAAACAAGAAAGAAAGCAAACTTCGGCAAGCCGAAGTTCATATACCCTTGCAGCTATTGCAAGAATTTAACATTTTTGAAAACATTAAAATTATGATTTACTGCGTATATGTTTAAAAACATTGAAGCTATGATGATTAGCAACTCAGTTATTTGATAGTTATTTTATATATTTTTATTATTTCTATGGGAGCTATATGATATAGACGTCCGATTTTGATCTAAGCCATTATTCTGAAATATTTAACCATTCCTATATGTCGAAGAACTGAACAAAAAATTAAAAAACAGAAAAGTTATAATTTTTTTCATTTATTTTTCCGATTGTTCCTATGGGAGCTATATGCTATAGTCGTCCGATTTTGATGAAATTTAAACCGTAAATCAGAAATATTTAACCATTACTAAACGTCGAAGAACTAAACAAAAAACTAAAAAACAGCAAAGTTATAATTTTTTTTCATTTATTTTTCCGATTGTTCCTATGGGAGCTATATGCTATAGCCGTCCGATCCAGCTCGTTCCGACTTATATACTACCTGCAATAGAAAGACAACTTTTGGGAAAGTTTCATGCAGATAGCTTTAAAACTGAGAGACTAGTTTGCATATAAACGGACGGACAGACGGACAGACTGACAGACGGACGGACAGACGGACGGACAGACGGACATGGCTAGATCGAATCTACTAGTGATGCTGATCAAGAATATATATACTTTATAGGGTCGGAGACGTCTCCTTCACTGCGTTGCAAACTTCTGACTGAAATTATAATACCCTCTGCAAGGGTATAAAAATTATATCTTTGCTGTTTTTTTAATTTTTTGTTTAGTTCTTCGGCATATAGTAATGGTTAAATATTTCCGATTTACGATTTAAATTTCATCAAAATCGGACGACTATAGCATATAGCTCCCATAGGAACAATCGGAAAAATAAATGAAAACAAGAAAGAAAGCAAACTTCGGCAAGCCGAAGTTCATATACCCTTGCAGCTATCGCAAGAATTAAATATTTTTGAAAACATTAAAATTATGATTTACTTGCGAAATGTTTAAAAACATTGAAGCTATGACGATTTGCAGCTTAATTATTTGATTGTTCTTTTATATATTTTTATTATTTGTATGGGAGCTATATGATATAGTCGTCCGATGTTGATGAAATTTTAACCATAATTCTGAAATATTTAACCATTGCTATATGTCGAAGAACTAAAAAAAAAATTAAAAAACAGCAAAGTTATAATTTTTTTCAATTATTTTTCCGATTGTTCCTATGGGAGCTATATGCTATAGTCGTCCGATTTTAATGAAATTTTAACCATAATTCTGAAATATTTAACCATTGCTATATGTCGTAGAACTTAACAAAAAATTAAAAAACAGCAAAGTTATAATTTTTTTTCAATTATTTTTCCGATTGTTCCTATGGGAGCTATATGCTATAGTCGTACGATTTTGATGAAATTTTAACCATAATTCTGAAAGATTTAACCATTGCTTTATGTCGAAGAACTAAAAAAAAAATTAAAAAACAGCAAAGTTATAATTTTTTTCAATTATTTTTCCGATTGTTCCTATGGGAGCTATATGCTATAGTCGTCCGATTTTAATGAAATTTAAACCATAATTTTGAAATATTTAACCATTGCTATATGTCGAAGAACTAAACAAAAAATTAAAAAACAGCAAAGTTATAATTTTTTTTCAATTATTTTCCCGATTGTTCCTATGGGAGCTATATGCTATAGTCGTCCGATCCGGCTCGTTCCGACTTATATACTACCTGCAATAGAAAGACAACTTTTGGGAAAGTTTCATGCAGATAGCTTTAAAACTGAGAGACTAGTTTGCATATAAACGGACGGACAGACGGACAGACGGACGGACAATCGGACGGACAGACGGACAGACGGACAGACGGACGGACAGACGGACATGGCTAGATCGACTCTACTAGTGATGCTGATCAAGAATATATATACTTTATAGGGTCGGAAACGTCTCCTTCACTGCGTTGCAAACTTCTGACTGAAATTATAATACCCTCTGCAAGGGTATAAAAAGGAAGCAAACTTTGGCAACCGAAGTTCATACACCCTTGCAGCTATTGTAAAAATGAAATATTCTTGAAAACATTTTAACTTTGATTTATTTGCGTATATGTTTTAAAACATTGAAGCTATGACGATTTTCAGCTCAATTATTCAATGATTCCTATGGCAGCTATATTATAACGTTTTCTGATTTAAATAAAATTAAAAGCGTAATTCTAAATTAATAAACCATTACTATGTCCAAAAGATTTTTTTAAAAACTTTAAAAATTAGAAAAGTTACTTTTTTTTAAATTTATTTGTTTTAATGTTTCGACTGTTCCCATGGAAGCTACATGTTATATTACTACTACCTGGAATAGAAAGACAACTTTTGGGATAGATTTCAAACTGAGACACTACAAACGGGTGGGCGGACGGACGGACAGACGGATAGAAGGACAAAAGGACATGGCTAGATCGACTCTCCTAGTGATGCTGATCAAGAACAACATATATACTTTATAGGGTCGCAAGTGTATCCTTCACTGTGCTGCAAACTTCAGGCTGAAATTATAGAACCCTCTGCAAGGGTATAAAAATGTTTGCTAATATATATTAATTAAATATATTTACGTTTATAATTTGTATCCTTTTTAGCCACCTACCGATACATGGGACGCAATGAGCGTAAAGTGATGAAAGTTCCTCGTACCATTCGTGAAACCGTGGCTGCCAAACAGCGTTTTGAGAAACTCCTCAAGGAAGTACCAGTGAAACAATCAGCTTTTACTCCGATGCTGGAACTTTTTGTGCTTCTGCACAAATACCAGGTGCAGCTGAACGAGAAGACACATCAGCAGGTGATGGGATTGGAGTTGGCCTGGCTGCACTATCTCCAAGCGCTGGGAGAGGCGGATGAAATGCTAGATAATGAGGGCAGTGAAACCAAATCGGAGTTGGCCAAACATGGTGAAAAGTTCAAGTTAATACTTAAAGAATTTCTGGAAGATTTCTACTCCAAATTACCCAAGAAATAAGAAAATCGCTGTTAATTCAGCCTAAGAAATTCTTCTATACTTTATTTTATACCCGTTAGAGTAAAATGGTATATTGTAAACGCAGAAAAGTATGTAACAGGTACCCTAAAAAGTACGGCTGCTCAAAACTGTCTTAAGGCAGTGCATTTACCAACACATAAGTCAGTTTAGAGAGGGGAAAAGACAAAAACAAATTTTATTTGACTCAGCCTTAAAAAAACCAATGAAACTGTTGTCCCCTTCCCTCGATCTTATCAGTAACGAAAAATTGTTAGTGTGTAGCAAATTATGCCTACGTATTGTGCATAGTCGTGAGCACCCATGCTATAAAGTATATTTATTCTTGATCATGATCAATGGCCGAGTCGATCTAGCCATATTCGTTTGTCTGTCCGTCTCTCTATCTGTATGAACGTCGAGGTCTCGGAAACTATAAATGCTAGCGATTTGGGATTTGTAATGCAGACACTAGTATTTCTTAAGCAGCGCAAATTTGTTTCAAAACGGAGCCACGCCCACTCTAACGTTTACAAGTCGCCAGACACTAAACGCGTCTGTCGCGTCACTCTGAGAAGTTAGCTATCGAGCTATGAATTATTTTAACAGTACTAGGGCTCTGCCGCTGCTCGGCCGCTGCTCTGTCGGTAATCGCTGCAGTAGACAGGCAGAACGAAACTAAACTTCGAATATTTTGTGGAGGATTATTTAGTTTGAAATTTGTTAGCTGAGTAACGGGTGTCTGATAGTCGGGGATCTCGACTATAGCGTTCTTTCTTGTTTTTATTTGTGGCAATGTCGAATGACTTTATGAGTTTTCCTCACTTAACTAAACCAAAAATGTATTTAAGCGATTAAGGTAAATACAAACTTCTTCTTTAAAATAAATATTTGCTTTGGCAGTTCTCATCCCCTTGACATTTAAAAAATAGAAAATTCTATTTTCAACGATTCTTTCACACGACTGCGCTGTTTTTTTTCATTTTCAATTAGAATGCAAAAGCTGTTAAGGTAAAAAAACCGCAAATCAGCTTTTATCAAGGCTTAATTAAGTTTGTATTTTATTGGGCATTGATTGACGAGCGGTTAAGGGTAATCAATTGGTGTGATGAACGGCTTTGTGGGTGTCAACTAATATCGGATATTAAACGAACAAAGATTTTATATAATTAAGTAAAGTATTAAAAAATATGCTAACCATTTCTCCTTTCATGTAAATTCGTAAAATGTACTAACTCTTTATGGACTTGAATATTAATATTAAATATACTTTCAGTTTAGATATGTGTCATTATTCCTACTCTAAAATCTTTCTGATCCCATTAGGTGCTCTTTTTTATACAGTTTTATTCTGTGTCATTTCGTCAGATCAATGACGTCACGGTGTTGTCTTTCGTTTGGTAACCAAATGGTTTGTTATCATTTTGATTGATTCATGGTGCGCTGAGGAGACTCAGCTAATTACCAGTTAATGTGAATTTGAACCGCGGACCTCAGTCATGAGCCGATCGCCGGTCAGTTTGTCACCTTTGTGGCTCGTCTACATAACTTTTTCTCTGTTGCCGGGTAACTCAACCCCAGTGGAATCCCATCATATTTTGGGTCTATTTGTCAATGTGCATCGGTCGCAGTTGATGGTCCATTTGGCAGTATGCCAAGCGCTTCTACAGAAGGGTCACCACCTGACTTTGGTCACCACACTGCCATTGGAGGAGCAGGAGCTTCGAGGGAATGTCACTCACATATTAATTCCATGGAAGCAGCCAGCCGAGGAGGACGAGCATGGATCCTCGTCAGACATCTTTTTACGTTTGCAACGGATGTTTGGGCGCCTGAAACGATCGGGAGATTTGCTAGATCTGCCAGAATGGAAGCAGTTCTTAGAAAGGACACCTCACTCCTATGATCTCCTACTTTTGGGCTATCATTTCAACGATCATCTGCTGGGAGTGGCTGCACACTTCAATTGTCCCGTGGCCATAATAACCACCCAACAGCCAACTGGATTTGTAAACAGTTTGATGGGCAACCCCGAGGAGCGTTGGTATGTGCCCCAGCCATACGATAGTCACCAGAGGAGAGGAGTCTCAGCCTGGCTCTTTGGAATTTGGGAGAAGCTCATGGAGATTTTGGCAAGGAGAGTGCTGGCAGGGATTTATAGGTATGTTTCGTAGATTATGTTAGTATGCTTTGTCTAAATATATGTTCGAATTTCAGCTTGCACTTTCCCGAACCCCGGTACCCCAGCTTTGAAACCATGCGCCGATCGGTTGTCCTGGCTCTAAATAATCACCACATGATCAGCGAGGGACCTATAGCTCCCCTGATGCCCAATATGGTGGATATAGGAGGTATAGTCTTGGAGCAGAAACTAAATGAAACCCACCGCGAAATATCGGCTAGAAACCGATCACTAATCATCTTCAGCCTAGGAACTCGATTCACTTGGCGCAAATCTTCACAGAAATTGCTGCAGACTTTCACAACAGCCTTTTCCCAGTATTCCGATTATGAGATATACTGGACTTACGATGGACCAAATCTCAGTTCCATCAGAACGAAACTTCCCCACTTAAAAATCGCCAAGTGGTGGCCCCAATGCCAATTGCTGGGAAGTGGTAGAGCTCGATTGTTTATCACCCATGGAGGTAAAGGCAGCCTCTCGGAAGCCCTTTATTACGGAGTGCCCTTGCTGGGACTACCTTTGTTGGGCGATCAACGAGCAAATCTGCAGAAGATGCAGTCGAAAAATTGGGGCTTGACATTGTCTACTCACAACCTCACTCATTTTGAACTATCCAAGGCAATGGATTTGATACTCTCCAAACCAATATATGCTGAATCTATATCAAAAGCCTCCCAAGTTTATCGCGATCGTCCAATGAAATCCAGCGATTTGGCCACCTACTGGATCGAATACATCATTCGTCATAAAGGATCTAAAATTTTGTATAATCCCGCCAGGAACTTAAGCTTCATCGAATATTACTCCATCGATGTCTATTTGACCATCTATGGGGGATTAGTTTTAACGATAACCATGATCAGAAAATTAAACCGTTTGCTGTGACTAGAAGTATCGTTTAATTGTATACAAATATATTACATAAGTAGCTTAGATGAACTTAATCGACGTTTACTTAAGTACACTCGAATGTTGTTTGACAATACTTCTTCTGATCGGAACTTGGGTCTCTATTTTATGTATTTTTGTTTCTTACTGTTTTCACTGGCATCTTACTTTCAGCATTAGTTACTATAAAAGTACATTTTAGGAGTACCTCTGCAAAAATCATTTGTAATTGTTTATAAAGTATCGAAAGCCCAAGCTGGCCTTTAACATTAGGAAAAGGCATTTGATAATTTAGATCATATTACTACGACTAAGCATATGGAATTTCCCATAAAATGCATTTAGTGAATCCAAAGGATCAGTTCTAGATTCGTTTCGTTCAATGGCTCATGTGTATCATTAAATAGTAGTGTTGTATAATTAGTTTTTAGTTTATGCACAGTTCTGGATTGATTGATTTCAATGGGGATTTTGGTTTAACTCTTGCCATGCTGGCGCCTCGTCTGGAAATGTTGCAGATTTAGGTTCCGATTTGGAAGTCCCGGACAACGGCCTTTTTTCACATCATAGGGACCGTAATTGCAAAATGGCGCACTGATGGCTCCACCTAGAATGAGACTGTAACAAAACGGAAATGTGGCTTAAAACCGTGAGCTTGCTGAATTAATACTTAAAATTTGATGAATGTATTTTAAAGTATTAAGGCGGAGTATAAAAAGTCGCTCATGTTAGTTTTATTTTTTCATCAAATACATTTATTGTGGCAGGATAAAGTAAATTTTAAGTAAAATACTTTCTGTAAGTTTAAATAAATATTTTTATTAAAGTGTACGATCAGTACCAATTTAGTTGCTCTGTGTAATTAATTAATTTTAAATTTTTTATTTCCTTAATATCTGATTTTTCTTAGGAAATTTTTCCATATTTTGTTGGTATTGATAAGAATTCTCGCTAAATCGTCCCGACATATTTTTATTTTGTACAGTGACCAAAGTAAGTATTTAGTATTCTTGCATTGCCCAAATCACAAAAGTTGAAAAAATAGTCTTTATATAATATAAAAGTAAATGAATTTCTGGAAGTAAAAACCTGCGCTAGGAAAAAATTCAATTTGCTAAATTTTATTTGGAGTTATTAAAATATGTGACTTAGGAAAGTTCGAGTTAGGGAACTTTCACTGTTAGGGAACTTTGTCTTTTGAAGTGCAATCAAAACTCACCGCCGTTCCATCACCGAGAATCCCTCCACGCCATTCTTCAGCCTCTTGCACGTGTCATCGCTGAGGTGGCAGTCGCATCGGCAGCGGTGCCCCTTTCGCTCCTTTCGCTCCAAAAGACCCATCACCTGGTCGTCCTCATCCTCATCCTCCTCCGCCTCCGGATAGGTTCCTGGCCGGCTGAAGTCGATGAAGTGCTTCGGGCATTGGCAGATGGGGCTCCGCTTGCGGCGCATCTCCACCTTCACGCACTCGCACTCCGTGTGGTTCTCCATGTACTTGATTTCGGGCCAGGAGAACCGGCCGATCTGCTTGATGAATACCCGCTCCACGGTCTCGTTGGACTTTGCCTGGCAGGTGGACCCCGCAGCGCAGCACCCGTACGTGTCCCTGCACCGGTGCAGGATCGTGGCTCGAGGGGAGTAGACCGTGTTGGTCTCCCTCGAGATGTGGACCACCTCCGGCTTTGGCACCTGGCAGGCGCCCTCGGCGGCCATCAACCTCAGGTGCTCTGCGGCCAAGCGGAGGAGTTGCGCATTGTAAGTTCCTGCAAAAAGCAAGAGAAGTCAAAATGTATAGTAAAAGGGTATAAAATATGTATGTGATATATAATATAACTACGTGAGTGAGTTCTTCATATAGCCGCAGGATTGGAAATCTACTTTGATGGTCCGATCAGAACAAATTAAATTAATTAAATTAAATTTATTAAATTTTTTGTTCATCAGTTTTCATACCAGGACTTTTCAAAGTCAATAATTTTGCAGTAAACCGAAAAAAAAATTAAATAGGAACATTTTAAGATGAGTAAAATACACCAATGTTTTAAATAATTTATAATCTTTTCTTTACCTTTTTTTTTAAGTTGGGGTACAAAAGTTAGTTTGTCAGTTTGTACGTATTTTTTTTTTTTTATTTTAGAGTTCAGGCTTATAGCAGTTTATAAATATTTGAATTGCTAACTCCACTTAACATATCTTATCCGAACACAATAGCTACGAGGCTATGGCTAAAATTTTGTTTTGGCGGTTCCTTGTTTTTTTTTCTAAATAGTCTTGTTTGTTTCTAACAAAATTGGGCTGTCATAATTATGTATGTTTTTGCGCTACTAATACTAGAGTAATAGAACTAAAAATGTATATATATATATATATAATGGTGTGCTCGATTTTAAAGCTGTCTAAATGAAAATTTTCAGAAACGCTTGTTTCTATCGCAGCCATATAGCTGCCATAGAAATGATTGGAATGGGGAAAATGGGGGAATGGGGAAAATTCAAATTATAAGGTTTTCTTTGCCTAACTTAGCTTCTATTCTTGTTTAAAATAAATTACATATAAGCCAAGTTAAACAAACTTTTTTTTACTATGTGAGCATATATTTATTTTATAATAATAATAAAATCCGAGGCGTCCTGCTGCTTTCAAAAATCCTCTCAAAAGTTTTATTTTCATGTGCAGCCTGTTATCGTAAACACAATTTTTTCCTTATGTGTGTCATTGGAATAACGAGAATACCAGGCTCATTACTTAATAGCCCACTAAAGTGCTGTTCATTCGCCTTTTCGATCGGACGGTTAAGTTCAATTCCCCCTTGCGTTTCCAGTGTTTTTCGCGTGCGTTTCGGTAGCGTTTTCGAGCGCCCACTGGCTTTTTGCAATGCCAACGGCTTAAGATCATTTGTGCGATCCGACTTTTTTTTATTGATCGGCGGCTGGAGATTGCACCTTTAAGGCCTTTGGCTGGCTTAAGTTTACCGTTGCAGGCGAGTTTTATTTATCGTCTTTTGTCGCGACCATAAAAAAAAACGCTCAGAAGCGATCTTTGCATGCGGAATTAATTTTTTTTTTCTCGTCCGCGTGGCGGTCATAAAGTTGCAGCAGCCAAGCGATTTGCGGGAAGAGGAGGAAAGTGTGCTCGAAGACCACCCAATGTGCAGTCAACCAAGCTAATCCCAGATACTAGTCCCGGTCCCCATTCATTCACCTACTAGGAGAACAACTTTCCGGGCGAATCTCCAATCTCCAAGGGACTCGGCTGTTGGCTCCATGTGTAATTTTCATAAACGCTCCATGATTGAATCATCAACATAACGAGCACACTGGGAACGGGCGGGAGTGCATTCCTACACAGTCAAAAAAAAAATCTCTCAAAAACCTAATTATACCGCTAAGGTGTTTGAATCCATTTATTAATATTTCAAAACAGAAATAAAATATATTTGAGTCCTACCCTTCATATATAAAGTTATAATGACACTTATTTGGCCTTAGTTCATGCGAAAAACATTTCAAATATAAATGTATTTAGGATTTCTGGCTAAAAATTTCGAGTTTTGCTCAATGTATTTGAGGTAGCTGCAGATGGAAGTAGTGCCAAAGGGTGGAGGAGGACTTCGACAGCCTCATAGTTTGAGAAGCTGCTTCAGCCACAACAGCCACATGAATAATTCAAGGGACTGAAGCTCAACAAGCCACGAGTACTGAAAACACAGGGCTTTCGAAGGGAACGGGGGCTTGGCAAGTCGGGGGGAGGATAGTGAGAAGAAAGCGGGGCGATTGCGAACTTGCTGAGGAAAGTCTGCTGGGCCGCTTTTGAACTTGAAGGCATTGGCCATGAAAATGTAGGCCAATCTTCCGGACTTCGGGGAGAAATAATTGAGGGAAATCCCCCCTCCCCACCACAAATTGCCATGATTTTGAGCTTGGCCAAAAAAGTAAATGTTTACACATCATAAAATTAAGGGAAATGTATACATAGATTATTACCAAACTATGTTTAAGCCAAGGCTGTTCAACTTTTTAAGGATATTAACCATACATGGAACTGATTTATTTTATTGATGATAATATTGATAAGCAATAGCCGATTATTCTTTAAATCGGTATCGTCTAGAAAAATAAATATCTTTGTGTTAAAGAGAAAAAAGGAGTTCCAATGCTCCTCTTGTCCTATGCCTTTGTATATTATATAGAAACCAAAACTCATTAAAATTGTTGTTGAAATGACATTTCTAATGGATATATAGAAATTTAATGGAAATTTACTATACGTGATTTATTATAAATAAATTAATTGAGCCAAACGTGCAATTGTAATAACCAATTAATAGTTTACTGGCTTATTAATTTAAAAAGCTCAACATTATTGAGCTCAACATTAATGAAAAATCGGATTTGGTGTGACATTTTGTACACTTTCTTCAAAATACGACTACATATTTAGTCTGAAAGTAAAAATAATGAAGGTTAAAATCATTTCTGGTTTTTAGCGGAATCGAAATGTAGTTGTCTATGACTAAATAACTCACCAAAAACTGGCATCTTCAAGCGAAACGACCTTGAAAAACAGCGATGGTTAAAAATTCGTTTGCACCAATAAGCGTATTTGATTAACTAGAACAAACAAACTGGAAACACAACTGCAACTGGATATATTAATTGACAATGTGATGAGTAAATTGTTGCATCATTATGCGTTTACTGCAACTTCTACGACAATTCCATTGACAATTTCCCAGGCTTAGTGACACACTTTCGTTGGCTTTTGCACCGACTCTGTCCACACGGTCTTAACGGTTTCCCAAAAACATTTTTTGCGCCCATTAAGCGACAGCAATTTTCCACTCAAATGCAAAAGACTGAGAAAACGGGAAAGGGGGGTTTGGGTAAAAAAAAAAGATATTGACTCAGAGCGAGCTCACATTTCATTGTCAGGGGTCGGGGTCTTGGCTCAGACTGTGGTTGGATCGTAATTGTTGTTACACTGAGGATACAGCGGTCCTCCGCTAAAGTATCGTAAAATTAATTTTTCAAATTATGTATATATATATATATATATATTGAATCTATATATATTAAAAAAGATTCAAAGAAAAAATGACAAAATGAAAACAGGTTTTTAAAATTTTAAGTAGACAATTACTAAAATTTGTTGTGAGTTTTGAAACATTTTATTTTATAGCATTTTATTACTTAAGTCACATGACTATTTCTCTCAGTACCTTTGTAAAGCCTAATGGCACTGAGTTTGTTATAAAGTAATTGGCTAGATCTCTCGAATTCTCTCCTCCAAAAAGCAGCCAACTAACAACATGAATTAAGAGATGGGAGTGTGTTTGTTAACTTAACAAGGTATCTCTCCTTTTAATTTCAATGAAAGCTTAAATGCATCGTCAGCACCCAAAAGACCGAAAAAGTAAAAAAAGAAAGAAACGCAATGGAAAATAACCTTATGGGTAATTATTCAACTCCTTAAGGCGGAGTTTTCACTCGTTTTTCTACGGTTAGAAAGTAAAGTGCGTGCGTGAAGATCGTGCTTGATTTTTCACCCATCCTGTTGTTGACATTGTGCTCTGGTTTCCCATTATTCGCAAGGAGAGTCACGTGCCAAAGGATAAAACAGTCATTTTCATTTCCATTGTCATAAATAACAGGACAAACAACTGGGACTCCAGCTACAGTTGCGGAATTTAAAACATAGCTTGACATTTTCGAATTTTAATGACCCTTTGAGTAAAAAAAAAACATTAGCTTTTCTAAAGAAAACTTGTTCTTAACAAGGTGTATAAAGTGTGATAAAATAAACATAAAATTCTCCATAACAAAAGTGCAAGAAATTAATTTTAAATTAAATTGTATTTATTTTGATAGCAAAATACTAATGAAGAAATAAGGATTACTTTATTTACTTGCTCATAGTTAAAGGCCCTGAAGCTGGTACTATTATCATCCAATGTACGCCTTAGTTTTTCAAAAAATAGTCTGTCACATTTATTAAATAAACAAATATTTACTTGCTCCTATTATTTTGACTTTAACTGTTCGCCCAGCACTTCTTTTGCCACATCAAAGGCCGTTTCATGGCGTTTTGTTTGGCTTGTTTCGCCCTTTCGTCTAGTGAATTGCATAGAGTTCGCTTAGCACATTTGCTTAGCACATTTTTTATGGCCAGAACGTGATGATCATGGGCGGGCGCCTCGGACATCTATTTGCAGCATTTGCCAAAGGAGGGGAGACACCTTTAATGGCCCCAACGAACTTAAAGAGAGTAAAGGGCAGGGTACTCACTATTGAACGGCCTTTCCCTATGTTCGTCGACGTCTTTTTGGGCTCCCAGTTGCTTCCCCTTAATGTCCATCAGAATGCCCGGCTGATCCGATTGATAGTCATCGTTCTGTTGAGTTCATGGAAAAAACAAGGGGAAAAATATTACATTTTAGAGCAATGGAATGAAACAAGGCAATGCAAAAATATCAAAACATATGTGAACAAACTCTCGATTTATAGTTGGTACTCATCTGTTATTTATTTTTTTGTTTACACGGCGGCCACGTAATTCTACATTCAAGTTTTTGTGGCTTTTATTATTATTACACAATGTGCCTTTTCAATATATATTTTTTCAACCATAAAGTATTTAGAGTTTTGTACGATTTTTTTTAATGCGCAAACATAAGTCTGCTAATAAATTGGATTGTGCAATGTGGAAGATTGATAAGTTATGTGCCCAATATTTGCTGAAAAAAGAATTACATATTGTTGTGCAATATCATTTTTTACAAAGTATAACATTAAGAATAATTTATCAAATGCATTAGTTTTTGTTGTTTATTAACTGATCGCTTTTGTATAAGTTGGTAAGAAAATATTTTTAAATTATTCTAACAAACTTAAATTTGATTATATATTTTCTCTGGTTTTTTTGGTGTTTTCTGAGTCTTTTTTCCACAAAGGGCGAATAAAGAGGAAATTCAATTTATGCATTTTGATTTATGCTCGCATGTTGCGCTCACGCAGCAATTGTGATTTATTTAACAGATTTTTAACACGCTCAACACAAGAGCCGCAGCCAGAGAAATAACAAGTGCAGGAGCAAAGGGAAAACTGCGTGCCACACCTGAGAGCACCTGAAAAGGTATCACTTACAGCTCAAAGAGCAACGGCAGCGGATGTGGGTAAAACTTTTACAATTTGCATTGCCTCACACACACATATTGATTTTCAACAAAGGGATGCACTTGCTCCTCCCCCGATTTCCCAGCCCGAAAAGGCGCCCCCCCCCCAGAATGTCATGAAAACTAACGACATGCATATAAGTGATACATAATGCGACGAGGAGGAGCGGTAAATCGGAAAAGCAGGAGTGGCTGCCTGCTGGGTGTAATAAATGAAGTGTGCATGTAAGGAAAATGACACCAGCAGGAGCAGAAAGGAGCAAAAAGGAGCAAAAATGGTGAAGCAGCCACGAACAACTCCATTCGTTTTCCCAGCGGAGTCGCCAAAGCGTTAAGTGAAATGGCCAGCGAAATGGGCGATGGTTTTGGGGCTGGAAAATTGGGTGGTGTAGCATGGATGAAAAGTCGAAAATGTTGGCGCAAATTTCATTTATTGGGGATAAATAATTAAAACCGAATTTACTTTTTTTGTTTTCCATAGATTCGGAATTCAGAGGTGTTTTGAATTGTATAGAAAAATTCGGGCAATATCAAACAATTTGCTGCTTTAATTGCTGCCAAAAATTAAGAAAACGAGAACAATAAAGGTAATCAAGTGGCTATTTTTTTGTAATTCTTACATTTTTTAAGTTGTTTGTACAAAAAATTTATAATCGAAATTTGAATTTTGTCTCCCGAGCTCTATGCGTTGTTTCTTAGAATTGATGCCAAACTTTTTGACTTTTATCCCATTGTGCGGTGGGGGATCGTTTGCAAATTGAAATTGAAGGTAATGCCAAGTCATGTCGCACATGCAAAAACAGCTAATGGTTCAGATGAATAAACTTTATTTTTCGGGTGTTAAATTAATGCTTTGCATGCAAGGATCTTTTTACTTGATGAAATCAAGGGTTCCATTAATCTCACATTTCATTGGTATTTAAAAATAAGTGTTTAACATAAAGTCTACTGTCGATTTATTTGATGATCCTTATACAACTAAATTATTATTTACTTGTCCGTCCTATTTTAGAATATTGCCTTTCCGTTTGCAGTCCCCAATATCAAGTACACATCGTTCGTATTGAGTCAGTACAAAAAAAATGTCTTCTTTTCTTAGAATCATTCTTGGAACTATTTTTATGCACAATTTTGTGAGAGGTGCTTTTGACTTTATAGAATTGGTAAGCCGCTAAATTTTTAATGTGTTTTTTTAGTTAATACCCCACAATATTAAAACGGCCCGCGCGTGATTAATTCCGTTGGGTTACATGCTTGTAGTTTTTTAGATCATCAACGTTTAGCAATATAAAATTTTTTTTCCAAACCTCTTTACTCTTTTAATATTACTATTTTTATAATATAAATTTTTAAGATTTTATAAATGTTATTTTCTGGTTGAAGTTAGTTATTTATTCATTATCACACTACACTTATAACCGTAATAAACATTATAAACGAAGGTACTCATGATCTAAAAAAAGATTTTTTGCTTAATTATCGCTTTGCCTAGGTAGTCCGATCTAAAACCTCTCCGTCCTATTTCCTTTCCATCCCGTTTCACGCCTTTTCTTAGCTCATTGGCGGCAATACCTCAGCTCTATTCTTTTATAAACATTTCTACTTAAGCTTCATTACGCATGCTCAGCCATGACACGGCCATTTCATCCAGGTTGGCAGTTGGTGACTCCCCCGAAGGTCCATCAATCTGCGTGCCAGACCCAGAAGCGGAACCCGGAGCTATAGTTGCACGGAGAAAAAGTTATCCCAACCCAAAATAATGCATTTATCATTAAATGTAATATTTGGTAGATTTTGTTTTTAAATTACTTTACACAGTTTGGAAAAACAATATACAAGGCTTGAAAACTTTTAAAAAATTATTTCTAAATTTATTTCGAACTGTTTTGTAAAATAAGACCTTTATTTTCTTACTGTAGAACTGAAGTTGGGGCAGGGACACATGAATGAGCACAAAAAAACGCATTAAATGTCTGCCAAGTTGACAGTATTCGAAAACGGTTGGTTTTGTTTTGTTGGGCCCGTTCCACCTTCCACCACTGCCACTACCTTCAGCACCTCCCCACCCAAAAACCCGTACCTCTCTCAAAATAATAATACAAAACAAACTTCATTTGCATTTGCCGCTGGTTCTGTTTCGAGCGTTTGAAGGATGCTTTGGTCGGAGGAGCAGTTTCTTTATTATTTTTTACTCTTGTTTTTTCCACACCTTTTTTAGCCTCAATTGGGATTCCTGGCGTGGGTGCGACTTGTGTTTGGTATTTTACGAGCCAAAAGGTAACAACAACAGCAGCGACAACAATAATAAAGAGCCTGTCGTGGGTTTATTCGCAATCAAAAGAGTTATGAGCCAAATGCAAATAGCGAACCCAGTACCCTGTTTAATGGTCATCCTCCGTCCCTTACACTCTAAAATAAAATCTATAATTGAAAGGTAACACTAAAAATATTTCCCCTTGCTAGGAGTTAGTACCAAATATTGTAAAAACCCGTTCAATCTTAATTTAATCCCCTGAGGCATAAATTTTAAAGCTATCTGCATGAAACTTTCCAAATTCTTGTATTTCTATTGCAGCTAGTATATACATAAGTCGGAACGATCCAGATCGGAGCATATAGCTCCCATAGAAACAATCTGAAAAATAAATTTTAAAAAGTTATAACTTTAATACTTACTTTACTTTATATATAAATGGTTCAATATTTCACAATTACGGTTTAAGTATCATCAAAATCGGACGACTATATCACATAGCTCCCATTGAAACAAAAAAATTATTCAAATTATTTAAAATAAAAATAAAATGTAACTTTTTAATTTTTTAATTAAAAAAAAAAAATTTTTTATAGTTTAAAATTTGGCTTTTAATTTTATTCAATTCGGAAAACGATAACATATAGCTGCCATAAGAACGATCGAATAATTGAGCTGCAAATCATCATAACTTCAATGATTTTAACATATACGCTAATAAATCGCAGTTTGAATGTTTTCAAGAATATTTCCTACTTGCAATAGCTGCAAGGGTATATAAGCTTCGGCTTGCTGAAGTTTGGTCTTTCTCGTTTTGTGTTAAAGAGTACTATTTATATAAGTGTACTCCGTAGGAGAACTAGGTCTAAAACCTTTGGCTGCAAGGTTTGTGTCCGTGGTCAAGATTAAATGCCCCCATTTTCCACGCCCCTCGTTTCCATGTTGTGAAACTGCGTGAATGGGCAAAAGATGAAAAGGAAACGGAAGGAACATCGTCAACAGTGGCAGAGGCGGCACAGAAAGTCTGGCTAACAAATTCGCCGACAACTGTGCAAATAAACAAGGGCGTTGTGTGTGAGGGGGGTGGCAATGGCCAGAAAGGAGACAGTGCTTCATATAGTACAATCCAATATTTGTTCATGCCAAGCGAGTGCAACAAACAGGGCCAACTAAATGTGCACTGCGTCCCTCTCCATCTGCTATTTCCCCCGAGTTCTCCCTGGAATCCACAACTATAAATGTGCAAGTAGACCCACAATGAATCGCTTTAGCTAAATTAAAATTTTCACTCCGAGGGGTATGACGAGATCTACGATTAGCTACTAAGTCAATTAAAAGAAGGAAAGCACTCGACTGCAGAGCGACTGCGTAATATATTCATTGATAAGCGTTTGGTAGATCTTTAAGACATTATAATACATTTTTCAATTGATTATTCGGTTAATTGTTTCAAACAATCAACCCCGGATTTTATTTGTTTCCGCATTTATGATTAAATTAAAACCAGTGTCTTATTATTCACTAAAACCATATGTTATAAATATGTTTTTTTTTGTTTAAAATATCTTTGAATTTTAAAAATTGAACTGTAAAACATCGTTTATTTAATAGTTGCTTCCCACATTGATTCAATATATGTTAATTTTGGACTGTTCCTTTTAATTATTAACCAAAAACCTGAAATGATCCTGAACTTGTATTATCCTGTTGAGTTTATCAAAGGTCTTCAAATTCTGCTTCTTCTTTAATTTAAAAATAAATTTTGAATTGTATATTATGTACAAATAATTTGATTGTTTTATTGTTGATCCATAAATTTGTTTACATTTGTTGGTAAGGCAGACGATTTTTAATTGACACAGTAAATATGTTCAGAGTATTGTAAATTAATTAATTATTTCAGTAGTTCACTGGCATCGCTTCTTGCATAATTACACCACATTTCATTCATTGAAAATAGTAAAT